AGGGAACGAGAGATTCAGTACTGTTTTTGGGGAGGTGTGCGGCCGCCGGGAGCCATGTCGGTGCCGTAGTGGATGATTGCCGGCTGTATTTTGTGTGCTCGAAGAAGAAGTTGGTAGCGGGCTGGCGAGTATTGGCGGGGGTTGGCAAGGTGGAATGAGTTATGGAGTTGGCATGTATGTTTATTTATAGGATCATCGGGCCTTGTTTAGGAATACTAAGCTTGTAAGGAAAAGGATAGCCTGGTACCCTTTTCATTGTGGGAGAAGGCATGGCCGCATAGTTGCAGGGCGGGCATTTCAAGGGCACGAGAGTTGTTGATAGAAGAGGTGCCAGATTAGCGAAGTATGATTATTCCTCTGGCCACTGTCGTTGGAGAGTGGGGGTGGTGATTCGCTAATTAAGTGCAAGGAGGTTCTCATGTTTGGAGCATTAATGTTTGGCTCAACAATATCACGAATTGGGTTGGGATTCATACAGCCCAAGGAACATACGTGTTTGCCATGCTGGTTCTCTTCATCGTATGATTGCTTAGGGGAAAAGAAACAGAGGCAACAAAGGTGTTTAGGGAGTTTCCCATCGCACTGTTGCGTTGGCCGTCAACGACGTTGCCTGTCTCATAAAGTAGTAAACACTAGTATTGTGAGGTATGCATGGTTACGATATTGATTTTGGCAGTATCATGGATAAAGAGGGAAAATCATATAAATGATTAATTTGGCAAGAATGGCTAGCAAGACTGGCTTGTACGTACATAGCCATGCGCCGCCAAATTGGTTGGGTATAAGGGGCTCAAGATAGGGTGCATAACCATGAGTTATGCACCCATCAATAACCAAATCTGGACCCTTCATTTAAAAAATTCAGATCTAAGGATGGAGAATTAAAGGCTATTTTTATTTTCACTAGCTTTTTTAATTGACTCATATCTTTTTCGTTTTAACTCGGATTTTAATTTTTTTTGCACAGATGGAACGAGTTCACCGTGCTCTACAAAATGAGATCAATTTTCAATATTTTTTTAGGAAAAAAAATTCTGGCCTCTCGGTACCAACTGCATACCATATGGTATCTTCTTCGTTTTTAATTCGTTTTTGAAAACGTTTGCACAGCAGGGATGAGTTCATCATGATCTACTGGATCTACAAATTTCTGGGTGAACAAATTACAGGACCAAAAAATACCACACAATACCATACAATACCACCCTGGTACGGGGTGGTATTGTATGGTATCTTCTTCGTTTTTAATTCGTTTTTGAAAACGTTTGCACAGAAGGGACGAGTTCATCATGATCTATTGGATCTACAAATTTATGGGTGAACAAATTACAGGACCAAAAAATACCACACAATACCATACAATACCACCCTGGTACGGGGTGGTATTGTGTGGTATACAATGTTAAAAGTCGTAAATTACAATTAATATACTTCTACTATCATGTATTCAACCATCCTACAGTATTGGTTTGTTCATACCATCATGGTACGTTTTTCAAAACATAGGTATGCTTTTATTTCAATACCAGTCAATACCATATGGTATAGGCTGGTAAAAAATGGCTCAATTTTTTTTGTTCGACAAATATATTAAAATGGATATCATTTTGAAGAGCACAATTAATCTGATCTAACTGTGCAAAAAAAATTAAATTTCGACTTAAAATGAGCGAGAAATCGTCCGTCAAAGATTAAAGAGGGAAAAATTAAAGGCTTTCCATGAGAGAGAGGATGCTGATGTCATGCTGACGTAGACGGGTTACTCATGGTTATTCACCATAAGACCATCCACAATGTGGGAGGGTGGGAAAGGTGGGAAAAGAGGGAAAAGGGGGAAAATGAGAGGGTTTGGTCACAATGTTGGTGTGGGAAAAAGGGGTAATTGGTTGAACACTTTTTTTCGTAAAATCAATTTATAGTTGATTTCAACACTTTATTTTTATATAATGATCATTATTTTTACATAGTTAGTGATAATTAATGAATACGAACATTTTGATATAATTTTTTTTCTAATTTGGACATAATTTTTTTCATCACTAATTAACGTCATTAATGACGAAATCGCAATAATTTATACAAGAAAGTTGTTACATTGATAGTTGAACATAAACATAATTAAGAAGAAATAAAAGCAAACAAATAAACACTAAACCCTAAAAACAAACATTAAATCATTAAAATAATAACAAAAAAATAAAATAAAAACAAACTGAAGTGGGCCCCACCCCTTCCCCTTCCCCCCCACCATTTGTCTCATCTGGTGGGTTTTCCCACCCACTAAACCCACAAAACCATTTAATCCCCTATTCCCCCCCACATTGTGGTCACATTTCCCCTTTTTCCCACAAAACCAACCCACGCTGTGGGTGGTCTAAGGTTACTCACCTGATCCATTCCCGGTATAAGGTAATGCCACTCTCACCATGTACCAGTGGTATATGTGTCCGCAGCTTTGTTTTGTATGGAAATAATATTGTCTGGCGAGAGTAAATTTGCTTGCGAACCAAAAGAAAATCTTTGACAAAACGAAGCGGTGTTGGGCAAACAGCAGTGTGGGTTTGGGCGAGGACAACACAGTTATTGTTCAAAACGTTGTGGATTGGGAACGAGTTAGCTGAAGCATGATTGCGGCCTTTGCTCCCAACGCTGCGCGAGAAGGTGATCTCGTGGGAGAAGCCATGTAGGCTACTGGAATTAAATGGGGAATAGAAAAAATCATAAATTAACAATGTAGCCATGCAACTAGCCAAATTTATGGACGTTGGGTAAAGGCTGCGAATTGCCATGCATGGCAAGAAAGTCATCTTTCTGAGGATTGGCTTTAGGGTAGTTCAATGTTTGGTTTGTCTTGGGCTAGTTATGTGTTGTGTCAACAATTTGGTTCATAATTCTTATAAACCAAATTGTGGGGGGCATTTGTTGACACCTAAAATTAATTTGGCCGGGATTAAATGCGGCATTAATTAGTCACGACATTTAATTCGATACCGCGGGTTAAAAAACGGTACCGCAAGGGAGCTCACCGGTACCGCGGAGAGTTAAAACGGTACCGCGGCACTGGAAACGGCACCGCTTGCCGAAAATAAAAAACAAGGGCCGCGCGTGTGGTTTTTTGTTGGAGAAGGAGTGTTGTTTTTAATTAATTAATATTTTTATTCCTTGTTGGAGGAGGAAAAACGGTACCGCAAGGGAGCTCACCGGTACCGCGGAGAGTTAAAACGGTACCGCGGCACTGGAAACGGCACCGCTTGCCGAAAATAAAAAACAAGGGCCGCGCGTGTGGTTTTTTTGTTGGAGAAGGAGTGTTGTTTTTAATTAATTAATATTTTTATTCCTTGTTGGAGGAGGAAAAACGGTACCGCAAGGGAGCTCACCGATACCGCGGAGAGTTAAAACGGTACCGCGGCACTGGAAACGGCACCGCTTGCCGAAAATAAAAAACAAGGGCCGCGCGTGTGGTTTTTTGTTGGAGAAGGAGTGTTGTTTTTAATTAATTAATATTTTTGTTCCTTGTTGGTGGAGAGTTAAAACGGTACCGCGGATTTAAAAACGGTGCCGCGAGAGCCTGGCAAGCGGTACCGACGGGCAAGTGACCAAAATTCACCCGGCCCAATGCGAGCGCCGACTGCGGTATTTCCATGGATTAATATTTTTTGGCTAAATCGGCGGTGTCGTTTAGTTCAAAACGGTACCGCGAGTAAGCCCAACGACACCGCGGATAGGTCAAACGATGCCGCAGCAGTTAAAACGACACTGTTAAAATTAGAACAGTATCGCGAAGCTCAAAAGCTCAACGGAATAAGGAAACGATGTTGTTTAACTAAGAACGACGCCGAGGGGTGAGAGTTTGGCGGCTAGAAAACAATGAGGGTTGTTTTAATTAATTAGTATTTTATAATTATTTTAGACGGTGTCGGTTAGTTGAATACGACGCCGCGGAAGGTACGAACAACCCTGCGGTACTAGGAACGAAACGACATTGTTTAGTCAAAGACAATGTTGCAAGAGTTTAACAGTGTCGTGAACGCGATGCTGTTTTGCCCAAAACAAGGTCGCGAGCCCGACTACGTTGATGAGCTTTAGTTCAGTGTTGAGAAGTTCAACAACACCGTGAATTCAATAAAGTTGAGCATCAATGGTGGGAATCCGACGAGGCCGGGATACTAAGAGTTACGTCAATGTGTAAGCCATGAATCACCCTCGAAAGTGGCATTGATATTGTGAGTGCATCGATGTTGCGAGGCTGGGAGCTCAGCGTTGCGGTGTTGTTTGTGATACGCCGCCGTTTTATGAACAAGGATGAATGTAGTTCGGCTTGAGGAGTTGGGGTGGATTATCGAACCCGGGTGGATAGTTACAAGGGTGGCTCAATGTCGTTTTGTCAAGTTGCTGCGTAGCAAAGCGGTTTCGCACTCGTGGGAGTTGCGCAACAAGGAGGAAGTTACCTGCGCGGTTGACAGGAGTGAAGACGTGGGAGACAAAGGCGCGAAGGCAGTTACTGCGACGAGAAGAAGCGCGAAGTATAAAGATTGTGAAGAAAGAGAAGTTAGGGACGGCAAAATCAAATCACAAACTGCACCGTCGCAGATTATCAGTTTTTCTCTCTAGGTTTCGTAGAACCGCTCTATCAAAGACCTCCTTTGCAGAGTCGTAGTAGTCGTAGATCGTAGTCGTAGTTGCGGAGCTCTCCAGAGGAACCTCCATAGGAGTAGAGGTAACGTAACTTAGAACACTCTTGGTTTGGTTTCTCGTTTCTCGTTGAACACCCTCGTTCGAATGTAGTTTGGAGAGGTGGTGAACCGAGTAACGGTTGTTTGATTAGAGGTCAAAGGTGCATCGATCAAATCAACGACGCCGACACCGGCGGCGGCTATTTGACGATCGTTTTGGTTTCTGCTTTAACCGATCAAATCAATGGCGCCGACATTCGGCGGCGGATATTTGACGGTTGTGATTGACGTGTGTTTTGTGTTTTTTCTTGAAAACCGTGCGCAGTTAACACACGAGTTTCGCCAACGAAACAGGGGAAAACGACGGTGTCGGAGGCAGAGAGATTCTGGAGGATTTGCCAAGCGATCGGCGACATTGCCTTCGCGTATGCCTACTCCACGGTCCTGATCGAGATCCAGGTAATTAAGTAGCTAGCTAGTCAATATTCGTTTCATATTAGTAAAGGATTAATTAATAATCAATAAAAGACTTTTTTTTTGAGAGAATAATCAATAAAAGACTTGGATGGATTGGATGCAGGACACCCTGAAATTGAGCCCAACGGAGAACAAAGCAATGAAACGGGCAAGTTTGGTGGGCATCTCAACGACAACCGTTTTCTACCTCCTCTGTGGCTGTGTAGGCTACGCGGCGTTTGGAAAAGACGCGCCGGGGGATTTACTCTCCAGGTCCGGATTCGATCATCCGGTGTGGCTACTCAACGTGGCCAACGTCTGCGTGGCTATCCACCTCATCGTCGCCTACCAAGTCAGTTCAATTAAATTAAATTAAATTATAGGCTGCTATGAATTGCCTTTTAGATATTCGTTGAACTAATAATTTTATACGTATGTGTGACCACAGGTGTTTGCACAGCTGATTTTCAGCTTCGTGGAGACGAGCTGTCGTCAGAGGTGGCCAGAGGTCAAGTTCGTGACCACGGATCACCAGATTACCATTCCAATCCTGGGTGGCACGAGCTTCCACATCAACGGGTTTAGAGTGGTTTGGAGGTCCGCATACGTGGTGGTGACCACAGTCTTGGCCACATTCATTGCATTCTTCAACATCTTTCTGGCACTTATCGGGGCAGCTTCTTTTTGTCTTTTGGCCGTATACTTTCCAATCGAGATGTACATCGCCCGATCGAAAGTTCCCATGTTCTCCATCTCCTGGATGTGCCTGCAAGCCTTGAGACTGGTGTGTCTGCTAGTTTCACTCGTCGCAGCAGCGGGATCAGTGGAGGGTCCGATACCGTCTCTAAAAATGTACCACCCTTTTAAGAATGAAGTATAAGTAATTAACAAGTATCGCCTTAATTATGCTCAGTTGCTACATGCTATGTGTACATTTTGATTCCCAGAAGCTAAGTAAATAGTTAAGTACGATTGAGAATGATGTTGATTCGAATATAGTACACAAGAGTTAATCAATTATGTTGGAATCGATAAAAGGTGCAACAAATATACACACATAAAAGTAATGATGTTAATAATTAGCCTAACTCGTTGCATTGGGAAAGTAGGAGCACTAAGCAGCATCCAACAATTCAAACAGTTCCAGTGCTTCTGGTTTGCATAAAATGCCTTAAGTAGCTTACACGGGAGATAAACAACTCTGAAAGAGAAATTAAGAAAAGTTGAAATGTGTACATTTCATTCAAATTTATAGGTTCAACTTAATATATTAAAATTGAGTTGTTCCTTACGCGAACTCATAGGGTTCAAGTGTTTAATGATTAGGTTTGGGTCATCTTTTATTTGACCCGTGACCCAATGGATTGGGTGGTGACTCGCTATGACACAACTCTTAACAATGGCCAAGTGTAACCAATGAAAGAGACTGCAGTATAGTTGCTCAAGTAATACATATCGAATCCACGGGTCTCTAGAGTTACCATTTCTCAGCTTCAGTTCATTATCTAGCAAACCAGATTAAGATAGAACTACTAAAACTACTCTAGCAAATTACAGTTAAAGTTAATTTAATTACAGGTTGGGAACTCACTTAGGTATGATTCCCCCTAGCCACTAGTCAGATTAATGATTGATGATTTCTAACTTGTTTCACTTTCATTCACAATGCGGAGAATCCTTGACTAGACCTTGAGTCTCGACTAAATGAACAAGGCCCTCTTGAGTCAATTGCCTAGAGGGACGTATTCTTCTCTAGAACAACCAATCAAGGCGTTCTGAACTAGACTCCCTCTATCGAAAGAGGTTCTCAATCGATACAAAGCAATGAATCAACCCTCGACTAAAGCAATTGATCCACTACTATCAATCTATGGTGCTCAATTGACCTAATCAAGTATTCGCTCTCATAGGATCAAAGCAGAATCAATAATCTCGACTAAAGCATAATTGAATCATGAAAACGTGCATAGATTGAATATGAACTCAAGATTATCAAGTAGGAGTACTCATAAAATCATCCAATCAAACAAACATAGCTAGGGTTCCTCAAAACCTAAGTGAAGGGAAGTTACTCCATAGAGAAGAGAGAGACTGCAGTAAGAATCTTCAGATAATCAGTCTTCAAGTCTGGGCTTGTTCCTCGAGCTTCCAAGGTGAAGAGATCCTCCAGTTCCACTCCAAGAATGCCCTCAAATCGCCCTCTCTCTCTCTCTTTGGTTTGTCCCTTGGGTGTTTGGGATCCAAAACTCAGCTCTCCCTTGCAAAAAAGGACAAAACAGGCTTTTAACAGCTTGCAATCGCGATCCCCGGTCAGAATACCCGGTCGGGTATTTTAGGTGGCGTCCGGGGATTGTTGAAACGCACCGTGGAGGAAGGGGATTAATCCCCGGTCAAGGTCAAGAATACCCGACCGGGGATTTATGCTCAATGCCCGAGCCCCCTTCTGCTTCTCAAACGCCCAAAAGAGGTTTCCCCGGTCTGCTCAGATTAATACCCGACCGGGTATTTTTGCCCATGGCCGAGTATTTTGCTCTTCCAACACACTTCAACTCAAATGCGCTCCTTTCGACCCGAAACTCGTTTCTTTGCTTCGATGCCAACGCCAAACCCTGAAATATGGCATAAACACACAACCTAGCGTGAAATCGGCTTAAAACACGAGAATCAACATCTCAAACGGCTCAAGAATAGGGGTAAAAACATGTTCAATCAATGGTCTATCAGGTGGCTATGAGGGGTCCAATTGAAACTGACCTGATCCATGTACTATCCTAAAACCTAATTCTACTTGCCCAACCCAGTTTATCACTGGTCAGGCCGACCATGGTGAGATCCAACATGCCATGCACAAGGAGCGACCCAAATGGTGCAATCATGTATCCATGAAAGTCCATGGGAGACCTTGGTGGGCTAGGATTATTCCTTTCCACTGAACTATATTTCCCTCTAAGTCCCCCTTCTTCCCCAACTTTAGTTTACCCCCTGTTTCCTAAGGAAGGGAGGAAAATGGAGGGGAGGGGAAGGGAATTAGGAGGGGAGGGATAATTTGGAGGTGAAAGAAATTGGAAGGAAAATGTTGTTTTATGAAGGAATGTGGAAAGGAAAATGTGTATTGGGAAGTGTGTTGGATATGTTATTTTACTGGGTATATAATAGTAAAATAGTTTAAGTTTATTTTGATATTATTTTCATTGCTTATGAATTGTGAATTAAATTTGTAGTTTCTTGCTTATTAATGTGTGATATGAAACTACGTTATGCGTGATGTAAAACAATTTTGTGTTACGTTCATGATTAAAGAGTATTGTATTTAGTCTCCTCATTTTCATTATGTATATCTTCGCTAGTATTTTTTTTTTGTATACAATTTTTCTATTATTAGATATCAAAGTTAATCATTTATCATAAAAATTTCAACAAAACAAAAATAAGAAAGAAGAACAAAAAATAGAAAAGAAAGTAGAATAACTAATAAAGAAACAATGAAAAGAGAGGGGAAGTGGGCCACGCAGAGAGTAATATAGTTTTCTCTCCAATTTGGGAGGATTGGTTCTACCGTACATTTTCTTTGCATTTTCCCTCCCTCCCTGCTTTCCTTCCATCTCGCAAACAGGAGAAAAGCATCGATTTTTGTGCTTTCTATCCTCCTTTTTCCCTCCCTCCCTTTTCCCTCCTTAAGAAACACAGGGTTAGAGAATTGATAAGAGTTCTTTAGAAGTTTTTTTTATGGTTGTACATATTGTACTACTTGTTTGAAGGATACCTTACAAGACCAAGGGAATGACGCGTGGAGAGAGTTCTTCCAACATGGAAAGTTCTCAAACTTCTCATCCTCACCACAACCATTGGAAGCAGAAAAGCAAATACAGATAAAAAGAAGTAGTTATTGAAGAACTGAATCCACCATCACTCTCTCTCCATCTAACAAGGGAAAGAAATTTATCAAGAAAGTCAAGCCAATGTTAGAGGCGGCATGGAGTATCTTGCTCATTTTTATTTGGGCAGTGTCCTCGATCAATTTAAGACCAAACTTTTTTGGCTTCAAGTATTCAGCTGGATACTCTTTGCACAGTTGGGATCGAGGATGCAATTCGTTCCAAAATTCAGAAGTTGGAGTGGCTTAAATTGTTATCCATTCAAGAGAATATCTACAAGATACTTGTTCTGGAATTCATTACCACTCTTATTATTCAAGATATGCGAGGTGCTGCCGACCTTCAAGACAACATCCAATTCAAACTAGGAGGAGAGCACTGCCAAATGTCGATCTGAGAGTTTACAAGAGCCATGGATATTTACCTAGCGAACTTTGTTGACTCACTGGAAGCTTTTGCCACCGTGGCAAGGGAATTCGAATTCCCATGTTTCAAGGCTTCCTATGAATCTGAAGTCAAGAAGTTCAATAATAGACCGTGGGATGTTAAGATATCGAAGGCTAGTGAGGTGAAACCGGAGTGGCGATTAATCCACCATGTGATTGCTAGGTCCGTGGGTGGAAATAACCGAAGCAAGGGCAATTTGACTGCTTGAGACTTCATTTTCTTCCAAAGCATGCATCTTCCTCAATCACTTCACCTCGTTTTGGCAATTCTATCCATCTTCAAGCAATATGAAACGAACCGTCGACTCACTGCCCTTCATGGAGGAGCTTATGTCACTCGACTTTCAAAGTATTTTGATGTCGACTTCTTGGTCGTGTAATTTCGGCTGGATAGTAGGAATACTCCTATATCCTTTGACATTATAAAATCCAGAATTAAAATGATGTTACATTTGAGTGACAATGGCGTTTGGGTAGTACGTGGACTTTCATTTCCAACCACTAACACATTGGATATGGATGGTATGCTGTTCCGTCTTCCGGAAGCCACGATGGTTAGAGGATGAAGAGGGCTAGTCAATGAGGAGGAAAAATTTGAAAGAATATACGAGGGAGGAGAGGCGCATATATCCAATTCTCATCCGGTTCCCTCACCACTCAACCATGCAAGGGATCTCTGATTCGAAGTGATGATGGCTGCAATCCTTAACAATCAAACGAGGGAGAAGGAAGAGTGGCTCCATATCATGGCATGCATCCATGATATAATGAAGAAGATGGATATTCCAATTGCGGATGTATTGCCCAATTTATTCACTCACCTTCCCCTTTGCCATTCTAAGAAGAAGAAGAAGAAGAAGAAGAAGAAGAAGGACCCTCTGAGGAGGATTAAGTACTAGGCATCCAAGGCTTAAGTTCTGTATTTTCTTTTTCTTTCTTTTCTTTAAACAAAGTTTAATTATTGCTTTCTTTTCATTTTAATTTTCGTACTTTTAATATTCTATTAGTAGTAGTAACCTTAATTATATTATCTACTTATCGTACCTATGTCTTATAATCGTCTTCCTCTCTTTATTTTGCGCTTTATCGTTGTGAAAACCACTAGGAAGACAAAGAACTAAACTTGTGCACCTTCACCATCCCACAACCCAACCTATGGTAACCTTCATTATCTTCTCTTTTGAATCTCCCACATTGAGGACAATGTGTCGCTCAAGTGTGGGGGGATGTGTGTGAATGATTGAATGATTATCATGATTGATTGAGCCATGAATCACTAGTATCCTCTCTTGATTATGAATTTAAGACATTTACAATTGCTTTTCTCGATGTCGAATCATCACATCCTGGGGTTGAAGAAGGTCTCAAGGGTTTGGTTGTTCACAGATTCAAGTGGTACGTCGGATGAAGGACCGAAACTTGTGGTCCCCCGATAGGGAGTAGTGCATGAGTAGAGTACCGATATATGAGTGATTTTACTCTCTTCTTCCTCTTTGGTGAGTCGATGATGTTTGCTATTTTTTGAAGAACATGTGTGCGCGAATCTCCACCACTTTTGA